CCAATAGAGATTGACCAGGTAGATAATGTGATACCTTTTATGAAGCCAAGAAAGAAATTGTAATACAGACACCTCCGGGCCAAAATGTTCTTATGAAAGTTAATGCTAAGCCAAACTTCCGAGTTGTGGAGTTGTGAAAAAGCTACTCGCTTATCTAAACTCGGAAGAGAAGGAATAAGTCACGATTCCTCAAAGATGACTACAAGTCCCTGCGGGTTGCAAGGAAGGTAAGAGAGCCCCGGCACTACACCTTGCAAAAGCACCTTGCAAAAAAATATGCCAGCTAACCTAGCAGGAGAAATCCTGACCGATTATCCTAATGAGTCTGAATTTCCAACTGGGGGCCACAAACAGCTCCTGACTCGATCCCAGTAGCTTTCATTAGGGACAAAGCTGGTTCGAATTAGGTCCAATCTACATGCTGAATCAATCTTTCATCCCTTTGATTGCTTCTGAAAATATTTATATTTCTTAATAATGCACATTTTGTCTTGCAACTTCTGATAAAACCCAGACGGGGGGTTCCCGAAGCAGGCAATGGATGTGGAAGGGTGATTTGGGACAGGAAAAGGAAGATAAAGAACACAGGTTTTTCCCATTGGGGAACCATTAGAGAATATAAATCTAGCAAGTTTGGTTATGTACACATCAGAGCAGGGCTGTAATAAATACAGATTGGAATATGACAGTGACCTAATGGAGATTACAGCATATTCTGGTATTGTGGGATTCCTCATAGGAGCTGCCACTATTCGGCTGGCTAACTTAGTAGATTTTACAAAAAGTGATCGTGGGAGAGATTTAGGAAGATCACATGTTACAACCAATAATAACCCACACAACGTATCATGTCAAAAAACAGAGCTGTAGAGGGGCACCTGAGTGGTTCAGTCAGTTAAGCGTCCAACTCTTGATCTAGGTTCAGGTCATGACCTCAGGATGGTGAGATCGATCCCTGCATCAGTCTCTGCGCTGAGCGTGGAGCCTGCTTAAGATTTTTCTCAGTCTCTGCCCCTCTCCCTCCCTCGCATGCACTTGCTCGTGCTCTCTCTCTCTCCCTCTCTCTCCAAAAAA